CCTAATTCTTGCTCTGCCTTTTGTTCCTCTAATCTTCTTCTCCAAGATGCTTAGTCATTTCCTCTATTTTAATCTTACCTCTTTCATCTCTTACTAAGAATTCTTTATAAAAATCCTCTTTTATGAGCAGTGTTGCCATCCATTCCTTTTGTAAAAAATATTCCACATAGTTTATTGGCCTTACATTGCCCAACATGGGCACGTAGGACACGGTAGTGAAGTGTCCTGATGTCGTCTGCCATGGGCCCACCCACAACACACCAATCACAAGCTTCCTGGGAGCTGCAATTGGGGGGTGTCTGGTTCATTGTTGTACCCCTGTTATGTCTGGCACAGAGTAGGTGTTCAGTAAATATTTGCTGAATTAACACAAAACAATAGGATTTTTACATTAGTTTCAGGTAGGATAGTGAAATTCTTAACCAAGTAGAACATTTTGGATTTGTTGCATATCTATAGAAAATATCTCACTTGACTATCCAGACTGATTATACCTAATTGTGGATACTACTTGCTGTGATAGCAATCTATTTTAAACAACTGATTAAAAAGAAGAAATCTTTAAAAACCACACTGAAATTACACACAGGGGGGAAAAAGAATCTTAAATTAAGCAAAATTGGTGTTAAGTGAACATTTAAGTATAAAATAAATCTGTGTATTTTTTAGTAATTATTCTTACGGAAAAATTTTGGATTTAAAGTATTTTTACACGACATCTTTGAATATAGAGTCTATGTTTTATAGAATATTGTATCTCCAGTGCCTATCATAGTATTTAGCACATAGTAGGTGCTTACTACGAAGTTGGCAGCAGGGACAGGAAGTAGGCTATGAAGCCTGGTAGTCTCTATTGAAGGTAGCATGTAACTATTAGATAAATAGTAAAAGAAGGCATCCCCTATGTATGTTACCCTCCAAGTTTATATAGAAATCTTTTATCCTCTGTCCATACTGTGGATCTCCCTGGGACAAAAGAGAATACATTCTCTAACATATAAGATGTTCTTTAGTGAACATTATACCTCGAGTAGGTTGGGAATCCTTGAGCAGGCTCCTCCAGCTGGTTTTATCCAATTTGATTATTTGCCCCTGAAGCCCAGAGTAGAGGAAGCCAGCATGAGCTCAAGGCAGTGAGTTTCTGACGATGGCCCCCATTTTGGAAATCCGGAGCCTGGGCAATGACATACGTGATTGGGATGTGTCATCACACTGTGGTTCTCCACAGAAGGAAGGCACTCCCCACCACTCTGCCAATTGGAAGAAAATTTCTGCAGATGTGTCCCAAAAATCAAGTGTTTCAACTTGTCAAATTATCAACCTTAAGAGGGTTATCTTTAAAGGGAAGAAAGGAATTATATTTTCAAATGGCATACTCTTCTGAGAATTTTTTTTAGCTTTTTGTTTTCTTTCATAGAGCAACTGAACTTCTGTGAAATTCATTTTCACTTAAGGTTATACATATAAGCTGGAACGGATAGGTCATGTATCACTGATTTGATTGCCATACAGGCCAGATTTACAGAAAGAAAAATTCTTTCCTTTGAGCATAGACATTACCTACGAGCAGGTGATACAGAAACTCCTGCCATTACTCACAAAGGGGACCAGGCAAGGGAAAATGAGAATGCAACGTAAGTCCAGTCCTGGAAACTCAATGTGCTGTCCACCAAC